CTCTCTCTCTCTCTCTCTCTCTCTCTCTCTCTCTCTTCGTCCCGCAACCCGGTCATTCTTCCGCTACCCATCATTTTGTGTTCTCGGGTCGTGTTATTTCTCGTCCTTTGCCTCTCTCTCTCTCTCTCTCCTCTTTTCCCTTCATCTCCCATCAAATCAGCTTGACTAACGAGTCAGTGCCACGTCAGCCAGTCTGCCAGGGAGCTGCCAGGTCAGCAATCCTGTGGTTCCTTGTCAGACTCATCGAACGGACTTTGCCGCATATTGATATCCATTCCGCAGGTTTCGAACGGATTTGACTTGCGGAAGAAAGAACGCGGTAGCGGAGGGGAAAGGTGGCGGGAATAGGCGCGAATGGTCGGCTTAGAGATCATCGGCGCGGTGAGCATCGCATTCAGCCCTCATCATTTTTTTGTGTTTTTCCATGTTTCAAATAATTACTACGTCACAAGACACTCCCTCCCCTCTCCTTCCTCTTCCCTCCCTCCTCCCTCCTCCCTCCTTCCTCCTTCCTCCTTCCTGCTCCCAACTCCCTCCTCCCTCCTCTCTCCTCCTTCCTTCCTCTCTCTCGTCCCTCCTTCCTCTCCCTTCCACCCCTCCCGCCCTGCCCTTGGGCCCCTCACAGAGCTCTTGTCATATAGACGTCAGGGTCTCCTGTGTGGCTGTCGGACATGGCTGGGTATATGTATATATATATATATCGTCAAACAGAGCTGCCCGATAAACCGTAGGCAGAGAGGGAGAAGAAGACAACAAACGAGGGGCTGTGACAAACTGTCTCGTCGATGAGTTTCACCGACTCATCAGGAGGCCCTATACATATATGTATTTATAACGTAACAGAGCTGCAACAAAGAACGTCTTCACTCTCTCTCTCTCTCTCTCTGAGAGAAGGTAGTGCACCATTGTTTTTATTTCCCGTTTTCTTTTTTCTGTCGTCCTTTTTCTTTTCTTCTTCCTTTTTACATCCTAAGCCTTATAGATCATAGAGCTTTTACTCTTCACTCGAGGGCTGATTTTGTGAATTTGAGCCGATGCCATCGCATTGGGTGACCGGGCGGCCAAGATAGATTTTCGGCTTTACTGTTCATCACACGCTGGTAAACCTCGGAAGTCCTTTGATGTGCAACTCGGTTGTCTGCATTAACGATGGGCGTTGATCTCGAGGACTTAACGATGGGATTGCCCATCGTTGGATAGTAGGGGCTGCTTAAAGACAAACGCCAAGCACCTGAACACATAAAACACACACAAGAGGACTCGAAAGAAACATTAGTAGTAAGCCTTAGAAAGAAAGAAAATCTAACCAGATCCATGTCTTTCACCTTCACTCTTCCCTTTCCCCCCCTCTCCCCCTATTGCTTTCTCCTCATTTTCCCCTTCTTCCCTCTCCACCTCCCCCATTCCCTCTCCCCCTCTCCCTCTCTTCCCCTCTCCCCCTCTCCCTCTCTTCTTCCCTCTCCACCTCCCCCATTCCCTCTCCCCCTCTCCCTCTCTTCCCCTCTCCCCCTCTCCCTCTCTTCTCCCCTCTCCGCTACTTTCTTTCTACTCTTTCCCCTCTTCCCTTCTTGTCACCCCCCTTTTCTTCCCCCCCCCCTTCTGCCCTGACCTCTTCCTCTCCCCCTCTTCATATTGAAACGAAAATTAGAAATTCCAATCTTTTCCTGATCCAAGTAATCTGCTTTTTGCAGTAAGGTCATCCATAATAAGGTTTATTATTTGTAATGATTCGTTGTGCTGCGACGCTCATATTCACATTCACTGGAGGCTTACACGTGGATAATTGGAGGAGTGTCTGTGTGATGATTCTGTGACATGTTCTCTGAAGTTTCTGTTAGATGAGATGACCTGAAAAGATTCTGCCACTTTTCGGCGATGTTTGTGTGAAGTTTCCGTGAGATGAGATGCTCTTTGAAGATTCTGCGACCTCGTGATGTTGTGGTGAAAGATCGCTGAAGTGAGACAGACGATCTGTAAAGATTCTGTGACTTTGTGGTGAATTTTTGGGAATTAGTTTCTGTGAGATGAATATTCTGCGAAGGTTCTGTCTCTTGTCGGTGTCTATGACTCTGAGTGATTCTGTCAGTGAGCGGCACTCTGGGTGCACGGGGAACCTCGCTGCACCACTTGCCAAAAAACGCCAATGTTTTGAATGTATCGGGATCGGGACCACGGTTCAGATTCACGCGTCTTCTCTGACCAGTTGACGGAAAACCATCCGCAACTGCATTTTGTTTTGTCGGAGGGCATACTCACACCAGGACTTTTCTTGACTGACCTCTGGACGTGATTGCGGTCATATACATTCAAGTGCGGCTGTATTTGGGGTGAGATACATCCAGGAAGGTCCTATTGTGAGTATGCCCTGAATTGAGTGAATTATCATTGAACAGCGTCTGAATTCACGGAAGACGATGGGCAACCTCTGGGCCGTGCTCCACTACTCTCCTCCACATGCACAAAAGACAAAAATATGGCGGTGTATCTTTCCATTTTCTAGCGGAAGATTCACTCTCATTTTGCGCATTTGGTGAGTAGTGGAGCAAGACCCTATGGATGAAACTCTGATTTCAGCGTAAAAAAAAAAAAAAAAAAGAGAAACTCGTGGATGACACGTGGACAAACACAGGCAGAGTGCAGTGTCAGGCACTGGCGCTGCTACGCTGCTGCTAATTTGGAGGGCTCAGGAGCTGCCACGTGGGGGGGGGAGCACCTTATCTATATCTATATCTATATACCCTCTTCTTCCTCTTCTTTTTCTTTTTTTTTTTTCGTTTTCCTTATTTATATCTATATACCGTCTTCTTCCCTCGAAAAAAGGCCCTGTTCTCATTCGAGCTGTGGGTAGGATGTATCTTGACCTGGAAATTGCGTCAAGCACAGACAGCTCTGGCAAGCATGCCTTCTACTCGGGGGAAGACAGTTGTCTGAGCTGGTAGCTCAAAGTGATGATGATGATGATGATTGGTCATACAAGTGGACTCGCCTTCTTCTCCCGAACGCAATATCCAGTCATTCGTATGGTAGAATTGTTTTTTAATGAATATTTGTCCATAAATATTATCATAAATCTCAGTAGATCCAGCGCAGTGAATGGAAAAATTCATGCATTGGTGGTTGTCTGTTAACTTTGGGATTTGATCTCTGATCGACAGAATGGAATATACCTGTGTCAAGTAAAAGGCTTTTGCTAAAAAACGTAGCTTTCCCTAAACCCTAAACCCTAAAAACGAAAAAAAACAAGGAAAAGGCAGAGAAAGAACAGGCGAGGAAAGCAAACGAAAAAAGCCGTGAAAAAAAACGAACAAGAAAAGGTGGGGAAAGCAAAGCAACAAGGGCGGGGAAAACAAACGGAAAAGGCGTGAAAAACCATCAAAACCTCCGTCCAGCGCCTTTGAAGCGGATCTTGATGATTTGGTACTATCTTCTGCAAGAGTCATTGTCTTTTGCGTGGCGCCAAAAGCTCTCACTTTGGAGCCAAATTTTCTCCCTGTTGCCAAAAATTCGCTCTTCGGCGCCGCTATGCTTTATTGTTTTGCACCCAAAAGACGTTTTTTTTGATGGTTTGGGCCAATCTTCCGAAAGAGTCGTCGTCTGCTGCGTAGTGCCCCACTCGTTTCCTTGGCGCCAAATCTCGCTCTATCTGTCTTTGGCGTTGAATTTTCTCCCTGGTGCCAAAATTCTCTCTTTGGCGCCGCTATACTCTGCGTGGTGCCTAGGCAGCTGCTGTAAATAAAGGTCCTGCAAGCCGTCTTCGCCATTCAAATTTTTTGAAAAAACCGTCGTTGTTTTGGCGCCAATTGTCTCTCCCTCTCCCTCTCTCTCTCTCTCTCTGTCTCTCTTTCTTTTGGATCAGGCAGAACCGTTGGAGAAGCGTTGTTAGCAGCCATGGTGTCATTCGATCCTGAGATAACAGCAAAATGTCGGGAAAGGACTTCCACTGTCGTCGCCACAGGAGGTTAGTGCATTAATCTTCTCTCTGTGTCTTGGTTATGAACTTCCCCCTCACCCCCGCCCTCACTTTGATTTATGTATGCCTGCTACCTCTTGGCCACATGGTGAAGAGTCTGGCTGCCATCCAGTCCAGAGCTTTGTGGACAGAAGTGATACAGGGACAAGTTTGAAACTGGGGAAACAAGTCCTTCGGGACATCCGTTAAAATTGGAGCGCTAGTCCTTCGGGACATCCGTTAAAATTGGAGCGATACAGAGAAGGAAGATTAGCATGGCCCCTGCGCAAGGATGACACGCATAAATCGAGAAATGGTCCAAATTAAAAAAATAAAATAAAATTGGAGCGCTACAGAGAAGATTCTGGGGAAATAAGTCCTTTAGCGATGCAGAGAAGATCAGCATGGCTGGCCCCTTCGCAAGGATGACACGCATAAATCGAGAAATGGTCCAATTGATGGTTGAAGACGGTCCCGTCTGTTTAATCTGAAGGTGATGCCTCCGATGTATTAGTCGCGATTTGTAATGAGATTTTTTTTTTTTTTTTTTTCTTCTTCTTCTTCTGGTCTTGGGTCAGAAGGGCTGTCTCAGGTAAGACCTTGGTCTGGACAGAACCACTAGACACTGCCTAGGGAAAAGGCTCTAAGTAATATTCGCTGTCTGACGAAACCTGGACTGGTGCTTATAGGAAAAAGATAAAGAACGATCATGCTTGGCGACCGAAGTGCCCCGTGCGACAAGGCTCGCTCGATGGTGCTTCAACTAGGGCTGGGAGAGGTTTGTCATGGCCTAGCGCTGGTGTCTGCAACCGCTATCGGGCACTATCGAATCAACATCGGATTTTGATTGGTTAAATGTCATAATTTTGCAATCGCTTTCGTGGATCTGAGTCATCGGACTTGAATTGGTAAAATACCATTTTTTTTTTTTTTTTCTGGATTTGATTTGATGTGATGATTTGTCTACGATATTGCGTATATATCTAACATCAAAATCGGACAAAATTTGACCGTAAAATAATGATCTGGAAACGATTTTATGGTTTGTGGATTGTGAATGTTTGACTCAAAATGGGATTTAAATTTTAAATCGCGAACGTGTAGATTTTTTTACTCAATACCGGACTACCGGACTCAAATTGGTAAGATAGTATTTTTGGAATCGATTTGATACTAATTAGTGGACATGTAATTCGGTGTGTGTGTTGTGAAATACGTATGATGCATTTTCAGTTGGAGCTGCCGAAAGGCAAGTCGATTTACCACGTTCTCGTCGGCGGCAGACTCGTCGATCTTCATATTGGGATTCGATGGCTGTCGACGATGAAGACGAGAACACGAAGGAGAATGCGGCACCGATGGATACGTTCCCCATTGTCGGGGAGAGGAGCGAATTTCAACGTCATCCAACTTCACATCTCGGCGATGACTTAGGCTGGGGACCGGCGAAGCTAAAAACTGGGGCGCTAACAACTCCTGCTGCGAGTCCCGCCGGACAGCAGCAGTACTCGCTTGCGTCTTGTTCACCTCTGAGCCAGGCAAAAGAGAACGTTTCTCATCATCTTAATGGCAGACCATCGAGGAAGGGTGGATTCGTTGGTGGTGGTGGTGGTGGTGGGGGTCTGGGAGGTCATTCTAATACCTCCTACATGACTGCTGGAGGCGAACACAGTGTTGCAGCAAATAGACCTACCACGCTGTTGGGGCAGACGCAATCGCCAACATCATCGGCGACATGTATGGACATATCTCCACTTGAGAAAACAGCGGGTAATGGAGGAGGAAGAGGAGAAAGGGGGCGGGCTGGAGACGGGGGTGGCATTTCCTGGGCCCAGTTCGTGGAGCAAAGGAAAATCGCCACTCCTATTGCTGGTCCTGCTGCCCAACGGACAATAACTGTCTCGACACCATCGCAGCGAGAACGAGTGCGCGCTGGGGCCAGCTCCATGTCCACATGGACGGAGCAGTACCATGGCGAGGAGTGGCAGGAAGAGGTGCTTGGGCCTGCTCGAGGGGCCACCAGATCCCGTCGCCGCTCAACCGTCATCGATTTCGATCTGCCGCACTTGCCTAAGACTGGTCATTCCTCGCTGTCACCGGCGGCGGGTGGGCCAGGACCCCGTCCGTGTGTCTCGGGAGGATCAACCTACAACCACGGGGAAAAGCGTGGGGAGAAGCTGCCACGTGTCCTTGGATCCCGACCTTTGTTTTCAGCACCAGCTCCCGATGTCAGGCTTTTTTCTCCTCACATTGGGGACGGGGTTGTCATCAATCTCTTGCCGGCTAATAAGCCACCCCTTGTATTAGGATTGTGTTGCCTGTTCGTGATAACCTCAGTGATTGCGTTCTTATCTATGGGGTCGTTTCTCGATGATGTCGTAGCGCGGGGGATGAGAAAGCGGTATGGCTTCTTCTCATCCTGGAACAATGCGATGGGGAAAGGTGAGGGATTCGGATTCTCGTCATCGGCGGGAACGGGCGAGGGGGTTGGTGAGTGGGTGCTCTCGTCCAGACCAGTGGAGTGGTGGGAGACGGGGGATGTATTGACTGTACAGCGCTTCTGTTGGGACATGAGATCCCGGTCACCGAAGACTGCCTCGTCGTCGTTATCTTACGCTCCGTCGCGGTCTTCTCAATCCTATTCTGACCACGTGGATCCTGTCGTCGATCGCGGTGCTGGGCACGTGCTGCGCTTTCCCGCCGGTGAAGAGGGGTGGTACGCGGCCTCCGGGCTTGGCGCGCAGCTCCGCAGATGGCTGGGAATCAGTGACCTCACCGACGCCGATGTGTTCGACGAACAAAGCTTGTTCTTGCAACCCGGGCAAGTTGTCTTCAATGCGCTGCAAGAGCCTGGCCCTGCTGCCGATCCGTTGGAATCTTCTTCTTCTTTTRCAGATAGCTCTGCAMATCTGGAKACTGAYGATCGTCTCGATCASGGATMTGGAYCTGACGGCGGCGRTCGAGACGGATCGGAAGAGATCAAGGTCGCGGCGACTCATTCACCGGTAACCCCGGGGATGAGAGGGGTCTTGGCTGATGAGCAAGGGAAAGAAAGATGTGACGTCGAAGCAGCAGGAGGGAGGGATGAGGTGGTAGTGGGAACCGGCCAGTACCTCGATAAGAGTATTCTAGATCGGCATGCAGCGTCCACGAGCACCGTTGGCGGCCGAAGTAGTGGTGGTAGGAGTAGGCCCTCAACTTCTCACTCGTCTGAGCTTGAAGCTGTCCTTCGAGAGATAGCTGAGATAGAAATGCTAGGAAACGAGATCACGGACTTGTTGGACGAAGAAGTTGCTGAGGAGCAACCAACAGACATCGATGATGAAATCGGTCACAAGTTTGGGGATGCGAAAGGTGCTGCTCCTCCTGTTTCCAAAAATAGCCTTGAGGAGGAGGAGGGTGTTTTAAAGGCTATGTATTCTGCCTCTTCGTCGTCTGCGATAGCAGAGGAGATTATCACATTTGGCGATAGTTGTAGGAAATCTCAGATGCGCAGTCCCTCTCGGGAGATGGAGAGGGAGAGGGAAAAGATTGTCGCTGGTGAGTCCTTGGAGGCTGTTCAGCATCTAAGGGGCGGAGGGATCGAGGCCACCAGCCTGTCTTTTTTGACCCCTGAACACGTTGACGGTGAGGGAGACGAGGGTGGTGTAAGGGAGGAAGCGGGGAATGACGAGTCGCTGCTTACTGAACCCGTTATCGAGAAAATCGATGTCGTGGAAGGCATGTCAGTTACTCGTGACTCGATCACAGATCAGAAAGAAGGTGGGCTTCTATCCATTCTGCTCGGAGTAGCCTTCGCTCGCGCCTACGAGCGAGACAGCGCCGTCGATCTTGTCCGAGCATCAGTGGCAACGACATGTCGGTTTTTCTTTCGTGGATTTCGTAGTAGTCTGGACGCATTGACTTCAACGGGCGTGTGGGTCGCGAAGGGAAGGCAGGGCAACGAACTCGTGGATGGTGTGGCCATCGACCTCGTCGGGATCTTGACGAAGACGGTGATTGCCTCGAAGACGGAACAAGCCGTCAGTTCTTCTCCTCCCGTGTCTGAAGCTGATTCCCATCTGTCGGCGGCGGCGGCCATGGAAGCTGTCGATGCAAGCGAAGTGGTGGAGGAGGACTCCAGTGCCGCTCGGAGACGACTCCAGTGCCGCTCCCAGTGACAAATATATCCCTGGTGACAGTGAGTCGATCACAGGCGATGAATATCATGTGGTTGGACTGGGTGGAAGTGATGGTGGGGCCATGAAGTTCCTCATGTCTCCTTCCTCGTTGATTATCGAGTTTGGCTCGTTGGAGCGGGAGGGGACATGGAGAGTGGTTTTCCTCCTCCTTGTCGCTTCTTGGTTGTTGATGACGGTCGTGTTTTTCAGAATCCGCCGTAGGTCTTACGTTTCTCGCTCCCTCGCTAGAGGGGGCAAACCGATGGTGAGCCTGAAGGAAGAGGGACGCGAGCAATCGAATGACGGCGGGAAAAGAGACGTAAGGATGACTACCATTTGCAAGGACAAGCGATGCGAACAGGAGGAGCACGGCCTAAATCCATGGGTGAGGAAGACGGAGAGGGCGGGAACGTCCGATGATGACGTCAACGAAATCTTGGATGATGGTATAGCTGCTGAGGAGGGTACGACAGGCGACGAACACTTGGATGATGACGTCAACGTAATAAACGCGTGTCTTCCTCGGAGTATGTCTTCGTTACACATCACGCCGCGTGTCGTAGAAAGGGAACCTCTGCGGGGGGAGGGTGATGAGATGGGTTCTGTGGAAACGAACGGTCAAGATTTGACAGCGAACGGCAGAGACTGGTCACTTGTGGAACGATCGGTGCCCGGCCGACTCCTCTCCTCCGCCTGCGTTCCACGGAGAGATCCCCAGGATGAGTGCCGATTTACAGCAGCGACGACGGCAAGCATCGGCAACACAGACACTGGGCGGTTCAACCCAGAGATCCCCAGTGGTCCTCTGGTGTTTGGTAGTGGCTGCAAGAATGAGAATAACTGGCAATTACCAGGCACGGGTGGGCCGTTTGGCAAGCATTTTGCACAAATGGTGATGGGGAGGGACTGCGAAGGTGCAGCGCAAGGTCAGGCAGTAGTGTCGACGACCACAAGGAAGGAGGCCAACACCACAATAACCATGACGGAGATGCGAATGGCGGCCAGTGCGGGAGGTGGTGCTGATGTGGGCGGTCGTCATCTGGTATCCAGACCCTGTGCTTGTCCGTTCAGTCTTCGTTACATATCGTACACTGAGGTTGTCTTCGGAGAGTGGGTCTTCGGAGAGTGGCTTCGAGAGGTACCTTTCTCTCTTCATCATTCCTCCCTATCCTCTCTCTCTCCTCTCTTTTCTTTTTTATTTTTTCCAAGAAAAGAAGTCCACTTTATTTTGGGCATACTCACACAGGGATAGCAAAATTGCATAATCTGCAATTTTCCAACTGCATAATCTGCAATTTTCCAACTGCATGGTGGAGTTTTTTAATTGGGTTCTTTTGAGTGTGTGTTCTTCCCTCCCCTCCCTCCTCTCCCTCCCCCCTCTCCCTATCACGTTTGGGCCAGCACGGTCATGAACTCGAAGGGTTTTCATCTTTTGTTTATACTCAGAAAATCAAATGTGAATTTGCATCGCAATTTGCTGAACCCGCTGACAAATACTACACCATTTGTGATTTCGCTGGGGACGGGGGCAACGTGTGACTGCAAAAGGACAGCAGAATTTGCGATTTTGAGAAGGCATACGACCATGTGGACTGGTTGTTCCTCGATAAATGCTTGGAAAAACTTAACTTCGGACCGACCTTCAGGCGTTCAGGCGTTGGGTGAGGATCCTTCACACAAATGCAACAACGAGAGTCATGGTAAATGGTAACCTGGCCCTCCCATTAGGCTCCAAAGGTCAGTCAGATCCCTAGCTCCATACCTATTTGTCATAGTCATGGAGGCATTGGCAGCCAACCTAAGAAAACACAAGAATATCCGTAGAATACAAGTGTCCTCAATACCACGGGAGGCGATTCCAGTCTGCTCGCTATTCGCCGACGATCTTACACTAATGGTAGAAGCTTCCCAAGAGTCGATGGTTGAAGTCCAATGCATGATGGACCGCTTTTGTAGACTGGCTGATATGAGGGGCAACTGGGGCAACAAAACCCAAGGTTGCTGGATACACCACCAAGGGGTGAGACCCCCGGAAGAACCCAGAGTCAAATGGCTTCCTCAGGAAACCTCAATCAGAGTACTGGGGGTGCTCATGTCAGCAGAGGGAAGGCCGGCTACAAATAATGAATGGATCTCTGGCGCCCCGCAGGAAAAAATGTCACTGTGGAAAAATAAACGCACCTCGCTGATTGGGCGCTCCCTATTAATAAATAACGTGATCCTCGCCTCCTTGTGGTACAAATCTGCTATCTGGGCCTTGGACAAGAATGCCTTGCGCCCTTTGAAGAAACAGATAGCCGCCTTCCTGTGGAGGGGGGACCACGAGGAGCCAAACGTAATCAGCAGAGTGGCGTGGCAGGCTATAATCCAACCTAAAGAAAAAGGGGGTTTGGGCATCCTGCCTTGCAAACAAAGGCAATGGCACTACAGTGGCTCAAACGTCTGCTGTTCAATCAAGACACCCCGTGGAAGGGTTTAGCACTGGAACAAATTTCCTGTTTGGCTCCACAAACAGCGGCGGGGATCGACCTGTTGACATGGCTTGAAAACCGGTGATGGCCCATCCCGCGGAGAGGAGCGCAACGGCTGCATGGCCATCCCTCCCACGCCTCTTCCAGACAAGCAGCAAGGGAGGACCTGCGGAACGACCCGTTCTGGCCGGACCTCCTGAAAACATGGAGGAGCCTGCCCCTACCAGACAAAACTCCACCAGAGAGATGGGAGGAGGTGGCACGGCAACCGCTGTTTGGGAACAGATGGATAACAGACTCAAAAGGGCAAACCCTTCATTGCATGGACTCCCCGTGGCGCGGTTGGGTTCGATGGGGGGTGATCAGGATCCGGGATATTTGGGACAAGGAACAAAGAAATTGGATCTCACCGGAGGAGTTAAGAAAGAAACTACGTTACTGTCATCGCCCGGGGGCGGCCTTGGACACCTTGATTGAAAGGATCCCCCTGGCCTGGTGGAGGATCCTAAGAAAAGGCCCAACCCTTCGCGAATCAGACTGGGTAGCATTGACAGGCTGTCCAAACCAGGTGGGCAACATAGTGTCCTGCGCATCGGACGGGTCACTTAGTGTCAATCTGTTCCGAGTCGGCTGGAACAACACTCTTCAAAAACTAGAGCCAGACGAAACAATCCTATGCCGGAAAGAAAATCTGTATAGAATCAGAATACTCCAGGAAAAAGAGCAAATGGTGGCCTATCACCCCCAAACCCCGATCCACCTACTTGCTCTGGACCCTGCGGAATGGTCATGGACAACATCAACAGGAAAGGGCAAGAAATTTACAAAAACGTTGTACAGCCTCACAGTTAAATCAACGTACAGACTCTTGCGGTTGAGAATAAATCTTCAGGACCGAGTGGAGGCGCGGTGGATGAACCATTTAAACATCGATAGGAATAAGTTGAGAGGTATAAAGTGGTTCAGGATGATTAAGGAAAAACCTGCAAAAATTGCCTCGCTACAATGGCAGATCGAACATCGCTGTCTGCCGACAAACGAGCAGAAAGGCCTTGCGCTCCCCTGGTGTAGGTTCTGCACCGATGCCTTCCCTTCCAGGAAAGCTCCCGAGACAATCGAACATATTTTTCTCCAATGCCCGGGAGCGGTGTGGCTATGGAGATGGTGGGACAGAATATGGAACCAACTAGGGACCCATACCCGGTGGCCGTGGGACTGGAAAGCCCTATTGTGTGAAGCATTCCCTACGGACCAGTTAAATGAGTTCACAAACAATATGCTCAAAATTGGCCGCAGAGCGGTGCTCTGGGCTCTCTGGCAACGGCGCTGCACATACGAAATGGAAAGAGCACGGCTGGAAGGGCCAGAACTCATGGAAAGCATCCAACAACAGATCCAAACCGAAATAAGGGAACATTGGGAAAAAGTTAGGAAGCAGCTCCCGATACTACATTCACCGAAAGAGATCCAACAAAAAATCAGGGATTTCAGCCTGAGCTGGCTTGGGGGGGAACAAGGGGGAAGGATAGGGGAAGTGGATTGGAAAGGGGGCCGACGTGAACCTGGGGAGGGTCAGGGAGAGAGGGTTTTAATGAGGGATTACCGGCTCCTTTTTCATGATTGGACCAAGATCGACTCAGTCATCCCCTTGAGGCCCAGCGACGACTTCCCCGACCCCTTCCCCCCCCCCTCCAACTGCTTGGTGGGTATGGATTGGTACGGGGTGGAGGTGTAAGAACTGGTTATTGGTGTCAGGACAGCCCTCACTGCAAGGACTCAGCCTGCTAAGTTTTTTCTCAGTCACCTCCCCAAAAGAGAGAGATGTACTTATGGGAGGGTAGGGTATACAGCAGGAGGTATCTCGCGGCGTTCCAGCAGAAGGGGCAATAGCACATGCAAAGTTTTTTCTCAGTTACCATTCAACAGGAAAGCGATGCATTTATGGGATGGTAGGGGGAGGGAGGTACTAGGATATAGCAAGGAGTATTTGGCGCCGGTTCTCAGGTGAAGAGGTCCCTCCCCCCCCCGCCCTCCCCCCTGCTCAGTTAATCCCTTGGATGCCAGGGCAATCAATGCTGGCAGGAACCTCTCATTATGTCTTTTTTTAATCTGTTTATGGGACGCTGGACCCGTTTTCCAGCAGGTGACGCTCCCCACCAATAGATGGAGTCTCTCCCCGGGTGGTAGTGTTGTCTGCTCTTATCAGCAACACCATCACCGGCAGGGGGGTGTCTTTTTGGGAAAAAAAAAAAAAAAAAAAAAAAGACCCTTAGTGTTAGTATGCCTACAGTAGGCCCGGAAATCCTCAACGAAGTACTGGGACCATTACCCAGTTTGGGTGCAGAGCCTGAGAAGAAGATCGATGTCCAGAGATGGCCAAAACTGGGCCGCTGCCCTGCTGTCTCCTCTCCGTTAATTTTTTATTTTTTGGGGGGGACTTCCACTTGCCACACGGTATTGCACAACTCTTTTGCTTGACTATGGGCGTCGATCCACTATATAACATTCTTCCATGTATCCGGACACGAGTGATGTCCTCATGCATTCGCACTGATCCAAGAATTGGAATGAATCTGGACGTCTTGGGTTCGGATACATGAATTAGCTTGTGCAGCGGAACGAGGCCCTATGGTGCTAATTACAATCAACAACAGACAATGAACCAAAAAACAAACAAGAAGGAATGATAAACCTGACCCACATTTGTTATGATAGCTATCATGGGACGATTTGCGTGAATGATGAACGTGATGAGTACAAGGCTACCGTCTTCGACCAATAGAACGCCCGGTCATTCATTATATCTGTATCGGTACAGCATTCAGTTTAGGTACAGCTATAATGACCGGGCGTTCTATCTGGGTGAAGACGGCAGCTACAGGAGAACGCGAATCAACATCGTCGGTATTGATCAGAAAGGACTGGGGCAGAACACACCGACGGTGTTGATTCTGTATTTGGACAGCATTCACTCTAGGTGCAGCTATAGTGACCGGGCGTTCTCAAGCACATGGAGATCAAGTGTAGTACTGATTGGTTTAATATTTGATCCGTGGTCCATCGGGCCATTAAATTAAAAATTTTGGGCCAGGGAGGGGTCAAAGGGGCGAGCTTGCTTGCTCGACCCTTCCGCCCCCAAAAAAAACACAACAACACCATAGTGTAAAATAACCGTGATCGTGGATTTTTCCGTGCAATACTTTCATTAAAAATTCCTACAATAATTGTTGAGCAAGCCACATTGAGTATGCTTGGGTTCCCATGCCACCTTTTTTTTTTTTTTTTTCCACCACTCATTCATTCATTCATACACACATGCATCGATCCATGCATCCATCAATCTATGCATCCATCCATCGGTTCATCGAATTAACGCGTAGGCGATTTTTTTTTTTTTTAATCTCGTGTACTATAGCAAGAGTATGCTTGGGTTTGATTTCAGTGGTGTCCTTCAGGTAGTGCAATTCTGCATTCCGCCTCTTTTGCTTTGTGGCAATTTGCTAAGTTCTTTTGAAAGTGGGGAAGAGTAAACTTCCCCCGACACAGCGCGCACTCTGATCACGAATGTATACAAGCTATCTTTCCGGTCAGGTGCAGCCAAAATGAGGGTGCGGTGTGTTCGGGGGAAGACGGTCTTATGAAGATGAGCTGCTAACCATGTTGGGCCGCAGAGCAGGTAGCTGAAGGCATAGAACGGGGCCGCACAGTTGCTCGTGTATGAATTTCGGGCTGGAACAACCAAATGGCAGATCCCACTGGTGCTTATCTGTACTACCGTCTTCACCCGAATAGAACGCGCCGTCATTATAGCTGCATTTGGGCCAAGTTGCGGTCCAGATACAGTGATAAAGACCGGACGTTCTTCGGGTGAAAACGGTAGGGGCGGCACGTGGCGGCACGTGCATCATGTGCGGGCACAGTTTCTCGTGTATGAAGTCCGGGCGGGGAGAACCAATCGGCAGACCACACTTGTACTGAATGGGTACTACTGTCTTAACCCGAAAACAAGGTACGTACCTTGTATTCACTTTCGAAGAAATCGCTGTTAAATTTTCGAATAGAAGGTACCTTCGGATACAAGGTATTCATAAGGTATGCACCTTGTATTCGCACACAAGTTACATACGTTGTATTCGAGGTATGCCTTGAAACTG